ACTCAACTGTACAGTATACTGCACATATTAAAACTATTATTGTAGTTTAATTTCTACGTAAACATTTGCTTTCATTAATAATATTGATATCGCAAACGTAAAATAGTAATTAATATTTATTTTTCTTCTTTCAACTGACTGAAAAGCAAATCTTAAGCAACCTCAAAAATATATATTTGTTAAATCTTGCAATATTAAAAAGTCCCTTAAGTAAATATAATTTTTATATTACATGGGTAGGTATAACAAAAAATAACATTTATTTGTCCTTTTAAATGTATGTCTGCAACAAAATCAAAATCATTCTCTCTTTGCTTACTTTCACCATTGCTGGACAATAAAAAGGTAAAAGAAATTAAAAATTCAACCTGTTGCCTTTATATCGTAATAGTCGCTCCCAATCTCATCAATGATGATACATGTATAAGAATTTCATTTAGTTCTTAAACCTTCTGATAACACCGTATATTAGTACATACATTCATTTTTAATTTGTTAGACATCTTGCTTGTTCCATTATATTAGTTTAGACACATGCTTTGGGAACAGTCAGATTACTTTTAATCACATGATTTGTTTCCTTTTTGCATAAAGTGATTTTTTTCACAAATATTTTTTTTTGTCCTGCGTTTCTTCCAATTTTCTACCTGACGGCCCCCAGTGGTACGACATAAATAAATGCGGCATCCCAGAAAATAACGGCCTGGGGGTGGTAAACGTGGGTTTTTTTCTTTGAATAGTCTTATTGTTTTTTGCCGATGGCTTTGGCGTTTGCGATTTTAAAGCCTGCGATTCGTACATATCTTGCTGCTGTCTACTATTTCTTAATGTATTCACGGGATGATGTAAATGATCTTGCATATAGAGTATATTGAATGGGTTTCCACTTTTAGCCCAACTGTTAATAGGCATTCCTGCTGCTCCCCAACCAAACGACGTGAACACATTTTTTTTAGGTCTCATTGATTTCTGGTCTTGAACAGGCATTGAAGCCGCCAGAGACCAAAGTAAAAACACGGGAAACACTATTTTCATTCTGAAACAAAAGTTCTGATATAATACATTTTTTTAAACGGAGCTCTTTTTTCATAAAAGTCATTATGATAAATAACAAAAACAAAAAAAAAAGTAAAACTTTAGTGCTTAAAAGTGTACTTCTAGTCGTTTCGGAGCAGGGAAACACTGTAATTCAAGCCCTCTCATGGACAAATAGTTGGAGTTACTTTATAAAGTCTATTGTCATTTGTAATTCAAAGGGCTTCATGTTCTAGAGCTCAAGAGCTAAAGCAATTTAAGTAAGGGTTTTGGGCTTACACTTAGGACCTGAAAGTCTTTTGGTGAGAGCTTTGCCCAACTCTAATGCATATAAATTATTAATAAGTTTTATAATTGTCTGATACTAATTGCAATAAATACATGTCTTAATGTAAAAATAGAACATATTTTTTAACCGGTTAATAGGTTTGCTTACGCAAAAAAGTCAGTGACTTGTTCTTGGACAATAATTTTATCAACAATAATCAGAAGTTACGGATATGTTATAAATAAATAATAGAAGCCCGCATATCAATGTCACGTTTTCCAATTCCATTTAACATTTTAAATACTGAAAATAGCAATGATGCATACTCATAAAAATATTTTTTGAAATTTTTTAAAGTCTTTCTTAATGGTTGCAATTTTAATAGAAATGTATATAAAAGAAAGTATGGGACTTGTAAAAACAACGTATTAATGATGCACGTGCGTGGATAAATGAATTTAAGTAAAGAAATATACATCGAAGGCATTCAAATAATTTGACCAGAATTGTTTATCTGTTTAAAAATTGATGTTTTGATGTCACAGTACAATACGTATAATCTACCGCAATTTCGTCTTGCTAACTTTTTATTGAATTGTAACTATGTCAACCCCAATATATTATTAAATATATGATAGAACTTTTTATCAGAAAATGCGTCATAGGTACTTCTTGTAAGTTGTTTTGTTACAGACTAAACATTGTACCCGGTTCTAAAGTTAACTGACATTTGTCTTACTAAATATAAATTCTTTTTATTTAAGGTCAAATGTAAATATTACAAAAATAACCAGTTATATTCCCCGATGTTTACAAAAAATTGTTATTTTTCTGTATGTTTGTAACTAATCATAAACTTTATTGATCTACTATCAATACGATAACGCATCATACGAAAAATTCTTTCCGGTTCTAAANCTTTTTATTTAAGGTCAAATGTAAATATTACAAAAATAACCAGTTATATTCCCCGATGTTTACAAAAAATTGTTATTTTTCTGTATGTTTGTAACTAATCATAAACTTTATTGATCTACTATCAATACGATAACGCATCATACGAAAAATTCTTTCTTACTTTAATCTTTTAAATTTATAGTAAAGATATTTGTGTATCTTTCTGTGACTTAATTTGTTTATTAAAAAGGTAAATCGAAAAATGACTTCTACAAAAGTTATTTGTTTCTAACTCTGTAGTCTGGGACCAAGAATGGGCCCCTGTGGTTCCCAACTAGGTTTTTTAAATATAAACCTCCATTAAAAAAAACAAATTTGGATATCACAGGGCCTCACCAGTGTCCCAGACCACAGGATCAGATGCCTCCTTTAAAACCCAACAACTAAATAAAGGTCATTTTTCGATTTGGCGAAATATTTGCTGTGATTGATTAAAATTAAACATCCGGTATATATCTATACATTCTTGTTCAACTCAACTGTACAGTATACTAAAATTTCAAAGAAATCGGGAAGATGAGACATTAGGAATAAACTTAACTAATTTTTGGAAAAATAGTGTCTCATAAATATTTATTGTTTTATTCTTCTTATTTACATNTTTCGTATTACTTACTTTTTATAAAAGAAAATAATTTGGTCCTGACTTGTAGTACCGGCTTTACCGGTAAATTTGGTTTCAACACCAAAAACTTCTTGTAACTTGTTACACTTAGATGAATGAAACGGTATGCAACGCTAGCATGTAAACTCCCACTGTTTTAAAGTCTTTCCTCCGACTCCAACCCTCGAAAAGGAGAAAAAATTTGCTCATACGGTAATCACGTGTCAAGGCGTAAGAAGGATCGCACAACGTGTACTCGATTATTCAATCTGTATCTTTTCTGTAATTTCTTTTTATGTTAACATTTATGAAGAATAATTTTTTTCGTTAATCTGTTTAAAAAAGAAAATATTTTAACTAAATTCAATTTATTGCTTATCCAAAGGTACCAAATTAGCTTAACTTTCTGTTTTTAAACAGATTAACGAA